TCACTAAAGTTGAGGGACCAAATTTAGCATTTAACCAAGATGAAAACACATCAAATTATGTCCCCACATCGTCGCCTTCACCATCACTCGCCACTTTCCTCCATCGAGCTCCGTCTATGCACCTCAAACGCCCAAAACCTTTTCTGTAACATCTCTTCACCCTGAAGAATGTATTGTTCATAAGATAAAAGGAAAAATAAATTAGACAAAAGATTAATAAAAATAATTAATTAAAGATAAAAAGTGAAACGATGTCACTAAAAGAATGTAGACCTTGAGTTAAAACTTGAATCAACCATTTATTTTAGGACATTTTGTGTCACTAATGCAACAGTTTCTTATGATCATGTCACCTTCAATATACAACCACCCAACCTTCTCTTGTAAAAAAAACTTTACTCCACCGCATTTTCCTTGCCCAAAGAGAATTTGAATACTATATTTGTGGAATAAAAATGTAAATTATGAAAATTGTGTCAATTTTTTGGTTGAAATGGAGGCTGCCTATTTACAAGCCTTCACAATGTAACCGAAGTAGACAAAATGTTGAAATTTGAAATGAAGTTTTTTTTTTGGTTATCAGATAAGATTTGAAACTAATGCCGTCAAATGCAATAATAATGTTATCTATTATCATATATGATTTGAAACTGATACAGTCAAATGAAATAATAAAGTTGTCTACTATCAGATAAGATTTTTTGAGGAACTATGTATTTAGATAAGATTTGAAACTAATGCAGTCAAATGCAATAATAAGGCGTGAATCAATCACTTATTTTAAGACATTTTGTGTCATTGGTATAACAGTTTTTTATGATCATGTTGCTTAAAACTTTACTCCACCACATTTTCCTTGCCCAAAGAGAGTTTGAATACCATGATTGTGGAATAAAAATGTAAATTATGAAAATTGTATCAATTTTTTGGTTGAAATGGAGGCTGCCTATTTACCAGCCTTCACAATGTAATCGAACTAGACAAAATGTTGAAATTTGAATGAAATTTTTTCAATTATCAGATATATAAGATTTGAAACTAATGTCGCCAAATGCAATAATAATGTTTTCTATTATCATATAAGATTTGAAACTGATGCAGCCAAATGTAATAATAAAGTTGTCTATTATCAGATAAAATTTTTTGAGGAACTGTGTTTTTAGATAAGATTTGAAATTGATGCAACCAAATGCAATAATAAGATGTGAATCAATCACTTATTTTAAGACATTTTGTGTCACTAATGCAATAGTTTCTTATGATCTCGTTACCTTTAAAATACAACAGTCTAACCTTCCCTTGTAAAGAAAACTTTACTCCACCAAATTTTCTTTGCCCAAAGAGTGTTTGAATACCATGTTTGTGAAATAAAAATGTAAATTATGAAAATTGTATCAATTTTTTGGTTGAAATGGAGGCTGCCTATTTACAAGCCTTCACAATGTAATCAAAGTAGATAAAATGTTGAAATTTGAAATGAAATTTTTTTCGATTATCAGATAAGATTTGAAACTAATGCCATCAAATGCAATAATAATGTTGTCCATTATCATATAAGATTTGAAATTGATGCAGCCAAATGTAATAATAAAGTTGTCTATCATTAGATAAGATTTTTTGAGGAATAGTGATTTTGGATAAGATTTGAAATTGATGCAGTCAAATGCAATAATAAAGTTGTCTATTATTAGATAAGATTTTTTGAGGAACAGTGTTTTTAGATAAGATTTGAAATTCATGCAGCCAAATGCAATAATAAAGTTGTCTATTATTAGATAAGATTTGAAACCGATGCAGTCAAATGCAATAATAAAGTTGTCTATTATTAGATAAGATTTTTTTGAGGAACATTATTTTTAGATAAGATTTGAAACTGATGCAGCCAAATGCAATAATAAAGTTGTCTATTATTAGATAAGATTTTTTGAGGAATAGTGTTTTTAGATAAGATTTGAAACTGATGCAGTCAAATGCAATAATAAAGTTGTCTATTACTAGATAAGATTTGAAATTGATGCAGCCAAATGCAATAATAAAGTTGTCTATTATCAGATAAGATTTTTTGAGGAACAGTGTTTTTAGATAAGATTTGAAACTGATGCAATCAAATGCAATAATAAAGTTGTCTATTATTAGATAAGATTTTTTTGAGGAATAGTGTTTTTAGATAAGACTTGAAACTGATGCAGTCAAATGCAATAATAAAGCTGTCTATTATTAGATAAGATTTTTTGAGATAAGATTTGAAACTAATGCAGTCAAATGCAATAATAAAGTTGTTTATTATTAGATAAGATTTTTTTGAGGAACAGTGTTTTTAGATAAGATTTGAAACTGATGCAGTCAAATGCAATAATAAAGTTGTCGATTATTAGATAAGATTTTTTTGAGGAACAATGTTTTTAGATAAGATTTGAAACTGATGCAGCTAAATGCAATAATAAAGTTGTCTATTATTAGATAAGATTTGTTGAGATAAGATTTGAAACTGATGCAGTTAAATGCAATAATAAAGTTGTCTATTATTAGATAAGATTTTTTTGAGGAACAGTGTTTTTATATAAGATTTGAAACTGATGCAGTCAAATGCAATCATAAAGTTGTCTATTATTAGATAAGATTTTTTTGAGGAACAGTATTTTTGGATAAAATTTGAAACTGATGCACCCAAATGCAATAATAAAGTTGTTTATTATTAAATAAGATTTTTTGAGGAACAGTGTTTTTAGATAAGATTTGTAATTGATGCAGTCAAATGCAATAATAAAATTGTCTATTATTAAATAAGATTTTTTGAGGAACAGTGTTTTTAGATAAGGTTTGAAACTGATGCAGCCAAATGCAATAATAATGTTGTCTGTTACCAATGAGACATCAATTGAAATTGATGCAATAATGAAAAATAATGTATAGGTGTTTATATGGTTTGAATCCTTCTGTAATTGGCAGTTTATGTTCCACCAATTTTCAATCTAGACCTGGCATTTCTTTGGCTCACTTTCAGACCCTAGATTGATCTCCTCTAATGGGTCTTGAATTTCAGCTTTTAGATCATCCAACTTGGCTGGGGCAAGATCCAGCTCTTCCAAAGTTATTTGATCACCTTGGTCTGTCTCCTCCCTTTCATGAACAATTTCAGATTTGTCCACTTGAACTACTTTTTCAACAAAATAAACCGCTAATTTCTTTGTTATCTCCAACACAGTCTTTTCTCTTTCCTGTCTCAAACGTGCTTGCTTCATTAGATTTCTTCAATTTTTAGTTTCCCCTTCGACCCATAAGGAATTATTGTTGTTGGTCGAAGAAGTTCATCACAGACTTCCTCTACGACACGCTTAGACAATGATGGTCTACTGCATGCTGTTATCCCAATCGGTTTCCCATGTCTATTCATCCCAAAAAACCGAATGGTGCCAATGTCTTCTTCATAATATCTAGCCTCCACCAAGTGAGTATTGGTTGAAAAAGGCTTATCATCTGCATACACGACCTCAGCCTTACCACCATTCCAGAAAATCCGCTTCTGGTGAAGTGTAGAAGGGACACACCCACTTGAATGAATCCAATCACGCCCCAAAAGTGCATTGTAAGTAGTAACAGTGTCAACCACAAAAAACGCAAACATCAGTGTCCTATTCCCTACTGTTAATTCAACAGGCAGCACACCTCTTAAACGATTCACCCCTCCTGTAAAATCACTAATTGTAACCTCATTATGCACTAAATCATCAAGAGACTTGCCTATTTTGTAGAGCATGCAAGTTGGAAGGACATTGACTGCAGCTCCATTATCCACCAAGACACGATTGATTGGAGTCCCATCCATGTGAGCATTGATATAAAGTGGCCTAATGTGTCTGGCCATCTTTTCTTCTGGTTTTTCAAACACTATTTTGTCAGCCATATCCTCCTCTTCATCATCGTGGGCTAGAACAATGATTGCCTCTTCTTTTGTCTGTTTTGGGAACTCACAGACGATTGGTTCCTCCTCCTTCTTGGCTTGGAAACCAAGGGTAATGTCAGCATCAGACATGACACATTCACTGAAAATTCCCCAAAATGAATAGTGTCATCTTCTTTTGATTCACCTCCAAGATTCCCAACTGTTCTTGTGCTTCAAAAGTTGCTTTCAAGACTCCGTTTGGACTCACAATGACAAATGCCACCTTTGGAGAAGTTGGAGATTGGTCATACCCCTCCAATAAAGTCTGGGTTATAGTCTCCTTTTTCTCTTTTCTCACCCACACCATGTTCCTTTTGGTAGGTTAGCATGGTCTGCAAAATGAACTTCCCTCAGCCTTCACCTGCTTCTGTTGCCTTTTCCGCTCTTCAGCCCTCTTGCGTTGCAGTCTGCGCCTCAAGGTTCTAGGATTCTGGGATGGAAACTTTGGATGATTGACTTTCTCCTATTATCTAAAAGGCGACCTAAGTGGTGGTTTAACCATTCTTGGAGATCTAGTACCAGCTGAGTGAGGTCTGGTACCTTCTGGGCTGAAGTTCCTGGTCACAATGATCCTTCCTTACCCCTCGAGTCTCTGCCGGTCTGACCTGACACTCCTGCTATGTCTGGATCTTTGTGCCTCAATAACCCACCTCAGGTCTTCAGCAGCAAGGTTTCTTTGAGCATAAAGCAGACTATGATTTCTGGCAACACTCCTCAGGCCTACAACATTCACACCAATAGACACAGCTAGAAAAGGATTTGCATCTACTCCCATGGTTTCCTTCGTTTTGTCTGGAAACTTCAGGATGCCCTTATCAATTTTTTCCAATGGCCTCAAGGCTGGTCCATAGGTGTCCTGTACCAGATCTATTAGCTGATCTCTATTGAATAGTTGAGCTGGTTGATTTTGCAGACCGTGCTGTATCGGTTGGGCTGGTGAAACTTGTGGCTGGAAAAAGTCCCTTGGATGGGGTTGACGATAAGGACCCACATTTTCCTTCCTAGTTGGCGGAATATACCTATGTTGAGGTTGATGGCCATGGTCTGCAACAGGAGTAGTAGCCTCCATCAATTCGTGTTGTCTTTGCCCTTCACCAATGAAAAAATTCTACTGTTGAATATTGGGATGAAGCTGATTCCCTTGCCTTCTGAGTGTTGGGATTAGGGCTTCCTGAATCTGTCTGGGCATTTCAACAATTGGAGGAGGGACCTCAGGTCTGGGCTGTCGCACTTGCTCAACTACTTGTTCTGAAATAGCCTATAGTGTTCTGCGACTCTCATCTCTAGTTTCACGCATCACCCTAGTGCCTTTTTCAAAAATCTGTCTTAGTTCAACCGTGTATTGTCTAATTATCTCTTCTTGACATCTGGAAGATTCTGCTTGACTCTCAACAAGTTTCTGTATAGCCTGATTCTGTTTTCTACATGCTAACTCCAGACGTTCAGTCATACCTCTAATTACATTACTTGATTCAACAAAGTCATCTCTGCGGTCTCCATCCCTTTCTTTGAAAATTGGATTGCCATAAAATCGCTCCATGAAGGGTGATAAAAAAGGAGGGACAATTGGATCATTCTCACCCTCCAAGTAGACTGGACTGTCATCTGCATGTTCAACCTGGGCTGGCTGAACTTGGTGAGACAGGGAAAAGGCTGCTATATATGAATAACTTTTTTATACATTTTTTATAAAAGAGGAATGCTAGGAGCACTCGCTCCAGCACTCTCCCTTCAGCAACCGCTCATTTTCATTGCAGGTGCAATTCAACCCCTATCACTACTAGAATTCACAGCATCACCGAGAAGAAGCCATGTCGGAAAACAAAGGGGATCTTGTCGGTAAAAAACATTTTCAACAAGAATTATGTCGGTGATAGTCGTGTCGGTGTAAGTCTGCTCGGTAATCAATTTACCGACGTGACTTAAATTCACATCGGTAAATTCCTCCAAATTACCGACAAAAAGCATGTCTTTAATTGATTGCCGGAACCATACTACCAGAGCTCATTCCAGGTGAGTCACGTTGGTAAATTACCGACAAAATATATCTCTGTAAATATTCACTGACAAAGTACAGCTAGGACCTAGACATTCATTTACCGACAAGAACTTTATCTGAAACTTAAATTAGTAATTTGCAAAATAATTAATAATTTACGTCTTAAAATTGTCACCGACCAAATTGTGATTTGAACCAAATCTTAATTTACCGACAAAACAGTAATCGAAAAACTGGGTTACCAATTTGTAAAAAGAATTATATTATTTCTGTTCATTTACCGACAAAACTCTAATTGGAAAACTAGTTTATGAATTT